GCTAATGCTAATGCTGTGATTTGATATCACGGTGGCTCCGCCGAGTTCTCAGTGTGTAATAACAGTTCAGCGTTCCCTGGTTACCTGGTAACCAGGGAACGCTGAACTGTCATTACCAGGGACGTGCGGTCAGGGGAGGCAGATTTCGCCCCCCTCAAATCTTTCTACAACCCTAACCGCTATGCTCGGGCGGCCCTTACGAAGGTCGTTTTCGAGGGACTCCCTGCCCTGTTGGAAAAGTTGGGTCCAGCATTTGACGGTTGAAGATGATGGTCCAGAGTCCCCATGAACTAAACTACAGGTGAAACTTGAATAATTAGAATATCGTGCAAAAGTAATTGCAGTAAGTGCTGCAAAAGGGGCCCAAACCAAGTACTGAGTACATATGCATGCTTGTACTTTTCAGAGGTCCGATATTGTTCTATGTACAATCCTTGTTTTATTGATTGCATGTAATAATCTACTTTTTTGAGGTTGTGGATTTGGGGTTCTTGGGGTTTTCATGAGCTGTAAGCCATAATCATCACAATTATGACAAATCACGGCTTGAATTATCTTGCTTTGCATGTAATGAGTCTATCTCATATATTAGTTTCACCTTTTAAGTTGCATTAGTGAAATAAATGAACTTTGCACGATATTCTAATTATTCGAGTTTCACTGTAAATAAAGAGAGGAATTTTACCACGGCACAGTGTTACATTTTCGTCAGATGTGTCGATGATTCAGACATGGTGATATTCAAGGTTCAATTACTCAGAGCGTACTGACACTAATTACTTGACCTTGTCCTTATATATCGACCTGGAAGTACTCAACTAGTGACATACTGGATGAGCAATTATAGCAATTATTTTCAGCCTCCTCTCGTACTATGTTGAGAGTTACACAGTCCTGATCACTGCACGCTCTATGTACACCACAGGAGACATTTCTATTGTGCAGTTTGTAATGTGCACCTCTAGAGGGAAGCTGGGGATGCTACTTTTCATGTCCAGCATATTTCGGGTGATTGTAACCATATTAGTGCCCTATTGTAACAACACAATGCAGTATTGTCTGTGGTCCTTTTTTTTTTGTGCTAACATTTACAGGACAAGCTTTTCTGTTTTTTTCCTTCTTCTCAGTCCAGTACTGACACACAAAGCTTTTGCAAAATGTTGAAAAGAAATCTGCAAGAGAACAATCTCTGAAAAAACACATTCTCTGACACCCACCTCACCACTTGGCCCCTGGACCCTGTTCGCTCACCACTACTCCGGTCATCCTCTTGCTCTATCCTACACTCTCCCACTCACATTTTCAATCTCTCACTCTCTACTGGCATCTTTCCCTCCCCTCTAAAACATGCCCTGGTCACCCCAAAACCCATCAATGGACCCTACCGACCTCAACAATCTCAGACCTATCTCCTCACTCCCATTCACCTCTAAACTCATAGAACGCCTTATCTACAGCCGCCTGAGCCGCCACCTCACTCATAACAACCTTCTTGACCCCTTAGGCCTGGTTCACACCGCGGCGTTTTACAGCGCGTTCCTACGCGCTGTAAAACGCTCAACATGTGAAAACCAATAATTGCCTATGGGCATGGTTCCCACCTGGGCGTTTTACAGCGCGTAGGAATGCGCACTAAAACGCCCAAAGAAGTACAGGAGCTTTTTTGGGGCGTATTTGCCGCGTATATCCATTAGGATACAGCTGGATAGCCCTCGGAAACCCTCGTTTGTCGCGCGTTTCTTTTACCACAAATCGCTGTAAAAACGCGTGGCACAAAACGCGTGGCAACCGTGCATATTCCGTGCTCCCAGGTGTGAACCCAGCCTTACAGTCCAGCATTGCAAACACTCCACTGAAACCGCCCTCCTAAAACGTACTGATGATTTACTAACTGCTAAAAACAACGGCCACTACTCCTTATCTTGCTATTAGACCTTTCTGCTGCTTTTGACACTGTTGACCACCTGCTTCTTCTCAAAAAACTCCAGTCGCTTGGCCTACAAGACTCTGCTCTCTCGTGGTTCTCCTCCTACTTATCTATGCGCTCCTTTAGTGTCACCTACAACTCTAACTCCTCCCCTCCTCTTCCTCTCTTAGTAGGGGTCCCCCAAGGCTCTGTCCTTGGACCCTTCTCTTCTCTATCTACACCTCCTCTCATGGTCAGTGGATAACCTTGCATGGCTTCCAATACCATCTATTTGCTGATGACACTCAAATTTATCTCTCCACTCCACAACTCTCCCCCTCAGTGTCCTTGCATGTCACTAATCTACTAGCTGACATATAAGTCTGGATGTCGCAACACTTCTTAAAACTCAATCTTTCAAAACCTGAGCTCATGATTTTTCATCCTGCCCGTGCACCTTCCCCCAACTTTTCCCTTGGGATTGATAACACAACTATCCATCCCAACAACCACTTACAAAGCCATCCAAAACTCTGCCCCCTGGCTATATCTCCAACCATGGTTCTGTGTGATTAACACACAGTACTTAACAGTGTGGCAAGTGCGTTGCGTTGCCATTCATTTAATTGCTACCCGAAACACACCTCCCAGCTGCAATGCACTCGCTCGCGTTGCAGTATGCAGTACCGCAATACTGTGCGTTGCGGTTGAGTTAAATGATCCGTAGTACATGATATGTAGCCCTGTACCCCCTTTTCCACTTACAGAGCTAGGTTATTTTTCTTTTAAATAAATATTAATGTATTTTAATGGTATCTATCTACCAGTAGCTGCCTCATTTCCCTCGGCTTATATTCGGGTCAATACTTTTTCCCAGTTTTTTTGGCTAAAATTAGGTACCTCGGCTTATATTCGGGACGGCATATACTCGAGTATATACGGTAGTACTTGCACTACTTTTTTCAACCACACCTCATCGCACTGCAACACATAGTAATGTGGAACTGCACACTGGGAGGTCCGTTTGGGGTGCCATTCAAATGAATGGCAATGCACCCGCAGCGCTGTAGGACCTAAGGGCCCATTCTCCACCCAATGCATTTTTATGCGTTTTTTAGCAGATACACAAAAAATAGTGTTTTTTCAATGGCCTAGTTTACACCAGTGTGTGTGTGTGTTTATGTGATTTTGGCCCTGTTTTGGTGGCAATGGGCCCTTAATGTCATCCGTTGGTGAGCATTTTCCCCCGAAATATGATAATAATTACCAGCTTTTTTTCCTTTCCTTCAACTGATGTGTGTCTGGTTGCGTTTACATGCATTTATGTGTGTTATGTTGTGTTTACATATATTGCTGTGTGTTGTGTTGAGTTTATATACATTCATGTGTGTTGTGTTGAGTTTATATACATTCATGTGTGTCGTGTTGTGTTTTTATACATTCATGTGTGTTATGTTGTGTTTACATGCATCCATGTACGTTGTGTTGCGGTTACATACATTTATGTGTGTTTTGTTGAGTTTATATGCTTTCATGTGTGCCGTGTTGTGTTTACATGCATCCATGAGTGTCGTGTTGTGTTTATATACATTCATGTGTGTCGTGTTGTGTTTATATACATTCATGTGTGCCGTGTTGTGTTTATATACATTCATGTGTGCCGTGTTGTGTTTATATACATTCATGTGTGCCGTGTTGTGTTTATATACATTCATGTGTGCCGTGTTGTGTTTACATACATTCATGTGTGTTGTGTTTACATACATTCATGCATGTTGTGTTAAAATCTCAACAGCTTTGTGCTGTGAACAAGCCACATAGAAAACCATTGTTTTCTATGTGCCCTTCCAGTGACCTGCGTTGATGCAGACTAGGGTTGCCACCTGATTTACCCAGACAGTCTGGGTTTTGAATGCTGAGTCCAGGTTTTGTGGCAGCAGAAACCCGGACACATGATGTCAGGCAGACATGGGCAACCAAAATTAAGATTGGGGCTGCTGCCCATCTGAACCTCCCCCCCAACTGAAAATAGTCTCAACTGTGATATTTACATATGAATGGGTGGCACTATTTACATATGAATAAGCCACGACTCATTCTCCCCAAAAAATGTCCATGCGTCGCCAGAGTGTTTGGGTTCCGCTTGAAGAAAAGGTGGCAACCCTAATGCAGACGCATTGTGAAAAAATACAGGTTACTGCATGTGGCGTAAGCGAGCCCTTAGATAACTGAACTCCATCTTCAGGGTCCATTCACACCTAAAAATGGAAGTCAACGGAGGTTGTTTACTTGCAATGTTATATTCCGTTGACATCTGTTGCAGGTTTTTTGCAATCTTCATTTGAAATAACATGTCCTTACTGGACAAACTTTTTATGTGAAATTCACACCTAGGCGTCAGCGTATTTGTGCGTGGTTTCGTGTAGCGTATTTTCCTGGTTTTTGCACGTTTGTTGCACATTTTTATGTGTATTAGACGCACACACATGAAGACGTGCATGTTGGCGGGCACATCGAAAACATTGCAGCCAATGAGAAAACGTGCATAAAAACGCCCCAAAGAAGCTCAGGTAGTCTTTTGAGCGACAGGCGTTTTGCAGCTTGCGACGCCTAGGTGTGAATGGGGCCTTACTTGTGTTGTTTACATGCGTTTTTCACTCTTTTTTTGTGCACTGCAACACAACGCAATGGTGTGAACCGGTCCCATTCACACCCATACATTTTTGGGTTCTCTTCTGTTGGCATCCGTTTGCCAATGGATGTGGTGTGAACGGGGCCTCAGTCCTTTAGGGCAGGTTCACACCATTTTCCGGACCTGATCTGGAACGCAGTGCAGTGTGTTATTACCGCAATTTTGCTGCGTCCCGGAGCGGCCAGAAATAGCATAGGGATACATTAGGATGTCTGGAGATGATCTGGATGTGGTGTGAAAGGGCAATACACGGCTGTATACAGTCTATGAGGCAGGTTGAACGCCCTTAGACGTCTGCACGTCTGGAGGGAGTCCGGGGATGCCGCTGATCATGAAGCAGGATGTATACAGAGAAGAGGAAGATCAGGAGGAGCTGCCCAAGCTGATGTGACGTCATGGGGCGGCACAGTTCACCTGCTGCCACACACTGCTTGTACTTTTACAGGGCGGAGACTGTGTGCGGTGGAACAGGTCCAACCAGTAAGGTGCCGCTCCGGGATTCCAGGTATGACCAGTGCCGTGCTGGGGAAGATGGTGAGAGTTGGCTTGTGATTGGAGCGCACATATGAATCAGCAGAGGGCACGGTAGCTGCTACATGCCAGCTTCATGGTGGCACTGCTAAAGGTGAGTGCTGTGGACGTGTCCGCTGTACCTGTGATGACCTGTACGGGGATCGGGGATGATAGAAGTAGAATGGATTGGTCCATGTTACTTTACTTTGGTGCCATGTTGTCTTGTCAGAGGGCACTATTGGTAGCTGTCTATCCTTGCCGATGTGTCATGAATATTTCAGGGTGAGAAGCTGCTCAGGTTGTCATGTATGGTCATGTCCGCCCTCCTCACACTTCCGCACACACAATATGATGTATTCTTCTAGGTGTAGACTGAGCAATGGGGACATCATTGTGTTCCTAGTCCACACAGTGCCCTAGTGTGTGCGTCATCCATCCCTGAGCAGGGGATACATGGCTCAATCAATGTCATTACATTACCCTGGGCTCATTCAAACTTTCTATAATGTACTGATCACACTGATCTACCATGATAGAAGCATACTAAATATCAGATATGCTCCCTTGGACCTGACTAATGATTTGCAGGGTACAACAGTTGAGAGAGGCTGGTTTCGGACTAGTTCAGTTTGGCGGCCGCATTGAAATCGCATCACAGTGCTTTCTAATAGGATTTCTGGTGTTCAGTTCACACCAGTGCAGTCAGTTCCAATGCAATCAGAGAACAAATCCTGCTTGCCACATTTTAGCTGCACCTGATTGCAACAGAACGCATCTAAATGCATGCAAACGCACTGGACTGCGCCTGAAAGCGCATTTTAAGCTAAAAAAAAAAGCAACAAAAGGCATTGCACTGCAGCTGCACAGACGCACGCAATTCTGATGCAGTTATGGTGTGAACTAGCCCTACGACTAATCTTCTACATTTGCCCTGGCAATGCCATGGTCCTGTCTTATCCCCCTGAATAATGTGTGTTGGATATGGAACAGGAGTGGGACCCGGTAGGTAGTCACTTTTGGGATGCTTTTGCTAACAAACAAAAGTTGTAATGTGTCCGTCTCACACCTTCCAGGCTTGCCCAGCGTTCATGCAAGGTGCTGAAGAGAACTGATGGTTGGCACCACCATGTCATCATAGGAAAATAAGCGTCCGCCACCAGAACACTGCCCCAGGGAAGTTTGTCTGGGTGTGCTAGTGACATATGTCATCTGACATACATTTGAGGTGCTTCTGCACAATGGCCTTGTAAAAAGAACACGTTCTGCGTAACAGATGCTTCCCAAGTTCATCACAAACAAGTCATAAATACATAACGGGTGCATCATAGACACAGTTTGTTTTCACCCAGAAGCATGTGTTTTGTGAGGTGCCTATTGCTTGATTCTGACTCCTACGCCTGTGTACACAAACTCTTAGGGGGGAACTCGCATCATAGCATTTTCCCCCATCTTCTGTATGTTACGTTGCCATTCATTTGAATGGCACCCCAAGTGCACCTCCGGTCGCATGCACAGCATAATGCAGTGCGGTCAGGTGCATTGCGTGGTAGCGTGCGCTAGTCGCACAGAGCCGTGCGATTAATGCAACGCTATGGTGTGAATCCACCCAAAATCTGGAAATACATGGGCTGACCCTTGCAAATGATATAAGAAGTTGAAGCATTTGTGATGACAATTATGGAATGTGCTGTATAGGTAAGGTCCAGCCAACCAGGCCATGTGGTATTGGAGGGCTCTACTGATGGCAGGAAGTTTTGGTGGAACATCTATCTACTTAGGGTTAATATAGGCAGATATCTATGAGAACAATGGAGGTGTCCTCCCTCCCACTACCAGACCACCATGGAGTTGTCATATATCCTTCTTAGCATTCTGCTTCCTGTTTCTATAGAGAAAGGGGAACAATCAGAGTCTGTCTCGATAGATATTTTCCTGGCTGTTCAGCTGTTGCACGCAAGACTCGTGTACCTGTTGTGTGAAATGAAAATTGGGCTCTCTATGAACATTCAGAATCCTTCCCTAAAAAAAAACTCTGAGTATACCAACAATCGCTTGTTTATTATCTTGCCTCCTGTTTAGCCTTCTGTGTTTGTGTTTACTAAACATTTTTTTTCCATGCAGACAGAGCTGAGGACAAATGGAATCCCAACCAAAATAGATTGGATACAGTGATGAAAGGGTTAAAGGAATTAACCCTTACAGTGGGGCTACCCCATCACGGCAAGGGTTAACTGCTCATTTTGTCTAAGAGGCTAAAAATAAAGAAGATATACTCGCCTGATCCTCGGTCTTGTGTGGCAGCTATACAGGTCACCGCAGCCTCTTCTTCCCCCCGGGATCTGTGACGTCATCACGTCTAATACAGTGTATTAGATGTGAAGATGCCGTGGGAAATACCACAGCCGGAGTGTAGAGGAAGAGAGGTGACCGGTCACTGCCGCAGGACTGAGGAGCGGGTGAGTATATCTTCTTTATTATCGCCTTTAGAGAAAAATGAGCAGTTAACCCTTACAGTGTGGGGGTAGCCTCAATGCAAGGGTTAACTTTTTTCACATTTTTGGAGATCTTCTTTAAGGGCCTGTTCACACCAAAATCGTAAGGTAATCGTAAGTCAAAGGCGCACGAATGCACGTTCTCGGGGCGCATGGGTGTGAAACGGGCCTCTCAAACTAAAATAAATTAAAAAAAATAAGGTTGGAGTGGAGCTCTTCTTCAGAGTAAACTCATTCTATGCCAAAGCAGGTTCACTTTATTGCTGGCTCCACCAGTTTCAGATTCCCTTTGTTCCCCTGCCAGTCCAGTCGTGCTTTCCCTGCTCTTCTGAGTGGCTAATCACCAAGCTCCAGCACTGTCCTATGAGGAGGATGTGGGTCACATGCTCCATTATACCTGGAAGTACTTGCTGTTTTACAAAGTAGCTGCACAGCAGTCAAGAAAAGGTAAGTATGCCCTTCAGAACACAAAAAAATATTGCAGGGACAGTGAAAATCCTTTACAATGGATACAGCAGGTATGCAGGCCTTGGAACACAAAGGCTGAGATATCAGTAATGAAGCCCTGCAGGGATATTTAATACTGTCAGATGGTTTCACCCTCCAGCACATACCAAATACTGAAATAACGGTTTTGTGTGGTCTGACCTTGTTGTTTTGAGGCTCTCTCCAATCTACAAATATATACAGCAAACCTGCACATTATGGCTGTTTGGCTTCCTCCAGTGCTGACAGCTCAGAGATATCTCTTATCTGTCACTTGTTGTTTCCTCCACCTCCTCTTATCCTCTATCTTATCCCAGTCATCTTCTGATTTTCCGCTGCTCCTTTTTGATCATTGAGCAGCCATTGATGATCTAATAGCTGCACATGCAGGCCTGTTTCTGGCATCTTACAGCCATGGAAAGGTTGTTCTGCTAAAAAAACAAAACTCTATCTCCTAGTAATTTTCTTTTTTTAATTAAAGCAATTTGATCACTAATATGAAAGTGCCCATAAAAGATTCACTTGTAAGGCCCACCATACATGTTATAATCTCAACAATCTTTGTACAGTCAACTTTAGATCTACCAACCATTAAAACTTAAACTTTTTTTTGTTTTTATTTTGGGACCTTCCTAATCTATTAATCTGTATCCAATTAAGAAGGCCCTCACACTATGTAGTTGTTGGTAGATCTAAAGAAGATCCAGTCGGATTGTAATGTGTATGCCAAGCTTAAAAAGAAAGTGACTATTTCTCTCCTGCTACGGGCGCTGCCACATGCCACTCCATTTCAAAGACATTGCTGGCTGAAGTCCTCTTCAAAAACCGGGAATGTTTATCTCCTGGGCCTCCACAGCACTTTCTGATGTCCCCCATGTTGCTATCAGACACAGGATTCTGCAGAAGGTGTCAGCTGGTGATTCTCCGGTGCAGGTGGCAGGAGAGGTAAGTATTTACTATTGTCCTTACAGGTACATCTTTTAGACTGGTGATAGAGCTGCTTTAAAGTGCCCATAGAGACCATCCAACCATCTCCTGATCTCCTCCTTTTGGCTCAGCTTCTGCTCTGAGTAGGGACTCTGATCACACGATCGTGGAAGAAGGAGCAGGGAAGCAAGTACATTAGGGCTGCAACAACTAATCGACATAATCGATTTATAATCGATTATTGAAAAAGTTGTCAACTTTTTCAATCATCGATTAATCGGCTTCTGGTTAGTTGGCACTGTTCACTAAAAGCATTTGCGCGATATCGCGCAAAATGCAAATTGCGCGACAAACGCGCGATTTGCGAACCGCTCAATGTGAGCGGGGCCTGAGAATGAGGAGATAATAATGTCTAATAACTCTGATGGCAAATTTACAAAGTGTCCAGATCATAAACTAGGTGAAATCCTAGCAAATAGTGCAAGAGTTTGAATCTAAAATTGACTGTTCCGTTCTTTATTTTATTGCTACATTGGAATTTAAGATGAATGTATTTAGTCTAATGCAGAAATAGGCAACCTCGGCACTCCAGATGTGGTGAAACTACAAATCTCTTCATGCGGGTGGCTGTCGGAGTGTTTCAGTGCCTCATGAGACTTGTAGTTCCACAACAGTTGCAGGTTGCCTATCCCTGGCCTAATGTTTTATCAAAAGGTTGGTCCATCTGAAACTAATCTGACCAGATTTTCAAACTGCAATTCAGAGATACCCTACTGGCCATGCCCACTTTTAACCACATCCCCAAATTTACACCTCCATTTTAAACATGCCCCCAAACATTTGGTCACGAACAAGAGGCAGACATTCAAGATATAAAGACAAAATTAAATAGAGGCACCAAGATATCCGTGCATAGTTAGGTGGGATGCCTCGAAGGTATCAAGAAGAAAAATGTGGCCAGTATAAACGTACCACCTGTATATGGCATGTAGTGTGGGAGTGAAATAAGCCCCTGCACTCTGCAGACATACTATAATGAGAAATGCTTAGTCAAAGGATGACAAAAATATTATACAAAGAGCAACAACACCAAATATAAAGGTGGAAAAAACAGAGGGAGGAAAAGGAGCCAGTCAGCAGATGGTTGTGATGAAGTGGATCTAAGTTTCTCTATGGATTTAAGGTATGTTTCTTAACTGGTTGCTAT